GCTTTTTGGAAGTCAGTTTGGGTTCAGCGGCTGGGGAGTACGTGCTGAACAGTACACTGACGGAGAGATAGAGAATAATGCACCTGGTATGAAAGAAGGAATTGGTAACAGGAGAAAAGAACGTCACGATAAAACACAAGCGGTTTCTCACGGCCTTACGTACGAAAATAGTTTTTTGCCGCTCCATAAAAAAGAAACCCCTTCACCAAGAGAAGTTCACTTCAACCTAATGGAGCCCTTCCATTTAAATATGAAAGGGGGAACACAGACAAATGTGGGGATTTTCCAATAAAAATGAACTGATTCACTGGGCCCATTTTAAGAGCATCCCAACCTCATGTATTGTCAAATCAATTCTCTTTCTTGAGGTCACCCAGAGTGACAAAGCTCAATCATAGTGACGGGCGAGAGGAGTGGGTGGGACTTGTGTCATAGTGGCTGATCACTCTTCTGGAAGTTATTGGGTGACCTGTAAATGGCACCACTCAACTCTGGGGAGGCGGGGGGGGGGGTTGTTTTCCAAGCCAAAAGGCAATTATCTCTTCAATAAAAGGAAGGTATCCCAAAGGCCACCCAAGAGAGCCTTAACATCTCTCCTCCAAATCTTGAGAGTTAGTTAGGCTTAGCTCTCGCATCCTTTTTCCTAAAGAAAAGTTTCTTTTGAAGAACTGTTATTGAAAGAGGAAGCTATCAACCAAACCAGCCAGTGGAGCAAGTGGCACTTTAAGTTTCATGGGTGTTATCCAGGGGTGGGTTCTAAATTTTTTACTACTGGTTCTGTGGGCGTGGCTTATTTTGTGGGTGTGGCTTGGAGGTCATGTGACTAGGTGGGCGTGGCTAGCTGGTCAGAGTCCTTTCTGGAAGATCCTCGCACTTACGACCAGTCCTCGCACTTACGACCCGACTCATTTGTTTGCTTTTAACACTGATCAGCTGTAAGGCGGCCCTTTGAAGCTCCGCGGCAAGAGTTTAAACAGTTTTTTTCCCTCTAGTCATCAGCTGGGACTCAGGAGGCAGCAATAGATTGGGGGTGGGACCAAATAAAAGGTAAGAATAACGTGGGGGATGGGGGGGAGAGGGCGGGGGGGAGAACCGGTTCGGTGACGTCATGTCGTCACCGCTACCAGCTCGGCCGAACCGGACCGAACCGGGAGGAACCCACCACTGGTGTTATCATAAAAGAGGACCTGACCAGGGGTGCTCACATTGCAGCACTGGTCAAAAGGGCCCAGCAGAGATTATACTACCCGAGACTTCTCAGGAAACAACAAATGAATGGAAAACTGCTGGTGAGCTTCTACCGCTGCACCATAGAGAGTATTTTAACTTACTACACCTGTTGTATGGTTTGCCAATTGCACAGGGGCAGATAGGACAGCGCTCCAGAGGGTCAACGCCATTGCCCAGAGGATCGTTGGTTGCCCTCTCCCCTCTTTGGAAGAGCTTTATAGCTCCCGCTGCCTTAAGAAAGTTCAAAACATTCTTAAAGATCCATCTCATCCTGGCCACCCTTTTTTTTTTTTTGAACTATTACCATCTGGCAGACGGTACAGGGCAATAAAAACAAGGACAAACAGGCTGAAAAACTGCTTCTATCCCAGAGCACTAACTATATTGAATGCTACTGAAGAGCCTGGTGGCGCAGTGGACTAAACTACTGTTAAAGTAGCATTTAGCTGCCTGCAATTACTGCGAGTTCAAATCTCAGCAGGCTCAAGGTTGACTCAGCCTTCCATCCTTCCGAGGTAGGTAAAATGAGGACCCGGTTTGTGGGGGCAATAAGCTGACTTTGTATAAAATAGAACACTGCTTGGGGGGGGGGAGGACCAAAAAGCCCTAAGCAGGTATATACAAAAGTATGAAGGCTATTGCTTAAAAGCATTGTAAGCCGCCCTGAGTCTCCGGAGAAGGGCGGCATATAAATCAAACTAATAAATAAATACTGTATAGTGCAATATTAATGCAGTATCAGGGGTTTTCAATTCAATTGTATAGCATGTGTTTTTGTTTTATTTTTTATGTGTAATGTACACTGAAGATGGCATTTAATTTCGTGGTACGAGGTGCAATGAGAATAAAGTAAACTAACTAGTAGCAATAAAGGAGAATATTTGTAGCTCAGGATTGACACGAGGGCTCCTTGGTGCTCTCTGAGCTCGGTGGTTTCCTTGCAGAGGTTTCATGGCCCCAAACCAGGAATCATCATCAATGCTGGGTCATTATACCAAGCTCAGAGAACACCACAAAGCCTTCAAAACGGCTAATTTGTATACACTTAGCTTAGAAGGGAAAAAATAAAATTCACTCTGGGCTACTGATAGTCAATTCATGGCACGATATTCAATTCATATACAATGCACACAGCCTTTGTAACACCAAGCGACCCATAAATTCCACCCATAATCAGTCTTTTTCGTTTTATGTCACAGTTAAAACAAGCAGCAAACACCTACAGGCAATGTCAACACAGGAGGGGAAGGGGGGGGGATCTATTTGATTCCCACCATCTGAAGGTTTCTTGAAGTCCTCATTAAATCACCCCTTAAATCTTAAGAAAGCAGCCAGCAGCACCTGACTCTGTCCCTCGATTTTGCTAATTAGAATTTTCATCCCTCCTTCTCTTTGATGGCTCGGGGAGGGGGTCCGCTCATCCATTTCTCCCTTAAATAGGTTACCTTCTTTTTACACAATAACACAATAGGCAGAATCATTTCACTGGTGGAATCTTACACACAGGTTTTTTTTTAAGAGAAGGCAATTCCCAAGCGCGTTTTGTTTTGTCTTCTTCTTCGGAGTTCATTCTCCAACTCTTTTTTTTTTTTATCAAAATTTGAAACTCTTCCGTTGAAGAGAAACAGCTCGCCATGCGGTTCGAGAGCTAAATTACCACGGAATTAACAAGACGAGGCTATTATTTCGGACAATTTGTCCCGCTCTTCTCCCCGGAGAAGGTTTTTTTGGGTGGCTCTTCGGGGTTTCCCCCCCCCCCCCTTTTTTTTCTTTTAATTTCCCCCCCGGGTATTTCAAGAGGGGGGGGGGTAGTGGGCCATTCAAGACCACAAAAGGGAAGCTAATGGTCAAACTGGGATCGGAACCAGGTTTTCCTCCTTCAAGGTTTGTCCCCCAAGCCTCCCTACCTCCGTAACCCGAGAAAAATATCTTATCGGGTATTGCAGGTTGCGATTTCTTGCCCTGTGTCATCTACAGTGCGCAGCGTTCTTCGAAAGCCTCTGAAGACAGGCGAATTATTCTCTTAAACGGACGGAAACGCTCTCCTTATTATGATTATTATTTTTCATCTTCCAGATCTCCGCGTTTCGGAAACCTCCCCAATTGGGAGCAAAGCTGAGATATTCAAAACTCTTTGAAAGAGTTGAATTTCTTAAGATTTCTGAGGTTTTGGGAAGGGGGCTGGCGAAGGGACTTGTCCCTCTATTAAACGACACGCTCCAGTCCCATCAAACGGGATGGGGAAAGTCTGAGAGAAGTATTTTAAGTGCGACTTCAGAGGTGCTTTTTTTTTCCCCAAAGGCAACTGGACCCCGCCCTCCCGCCCCCAATTTTTGAAGGCGTTTGTTAACTAAGAGCTTCGGCTGTTCATTCAGCAGTAATTTAGCCGTCGAACCGCGCACGGCGATCTGTTTTGGCAATGGGAGAATTTAAAAGTCCAGTTTGCCTTCGGGATTTAAATATTTTATTAGATTATAGAATAAAATACGAAAATACAAAAGCAAATAGGAAGAGACGGTGGGGAGGAAAAGGGGAAAGACAAATGAGGGGAGGGGAGGGGGAGGAAGGAAAAAGGGAAGCTTTGGGATCACAGCGACCTGGATGACCGAAAATACGAAATGCCACCCTAAACTTTTCCCAATTTCGCTTCCCGATCTTCCCCGGACTACAAAAACCAGACGGCAAAGCCCACCCACCCGCCCCCATCAAAGTCATCGCCACGCGCACCAAATCCCAACCACACACACAAAAAAAGAACTTTTCCCCATCTGGTGACACCCCCCCCCAACCTCCAATTGGGACTGATCGTGGATGATGGGACTCGGGTGTCCATCGGGAGCGGCTGGCGGACATCAGATTGGCCCCGGGGGTCTCCTCGGAATCGACCACGGGCCAAACACGCCGTCAACCCTTCTCACAAAAAGAATCTTTCCCCATCTGGTGATCTCCTCCCCCACCCTCCCCAAACCGCACTGATCGTGGATGATGGGACTCGGAGTCCATCGCGGCATCAGGTTGGCCCGGGGGTCTCCTCCGAGTCGACACGCGTCCAGCTTTCCCACGAATAGAAAAAAGACCCCCCCCCCCATCTTGTGGTCTCCTTCTCCCCCACCCCCCCCCCCCATTCCCAAACCGCACTGATCGGGGATGATGGGACTCGAAATCCATCGGGACCGGCTGGCGGATATCAAATTGAGCCGGGGAGTCTCCTCGGCCAAACACGAGTCCCACAAAAAGACCCCTTCCCTAATCTGGTTATCTCCTCCTCCGCCCCCAATTCCCAAACCGCACTGATTCGGGATGATGGGGCTCGGAGTCCATCGGGGCATCAGGTTGGCCCGGGGCTCGGAGTCGACGGCGGGCTAAACACGCGTCCAAGCCTTCCCACGAAAAGAAAAAAGACCCTCTCCCCAATCTGGGGATCTCCTTCTCTCCCCCATCCCCACCCCCCAAACTGCACTGATCGGGGATGATGGGACTCGGAGTCCATCGGGACCGGCTGGCGGACATCAGATGGAGTCCCCTCGGAGTCGACGACGGGCCAAACACGCGTCCACCTTTCCCACAAAATGACCCTTTTCCCCAATCTGCTGATCTCCAACCCCCCCCCCCACACCTCTACAGCCCCCCAAAACCGCACCGATCGGGGATGATGGGACTGGGAGCGATGAGACCCACGAGACCTTCGCGCCCCTTTTATCAACGGGAGGGGGGGAAAGGGTTATTTGATTTTTATTTGATTTTTATTTGATTTTTTTTTAAAACCTTACCGTGATATTCCTGTCCCGGCACGTAGAAAGTGGGGTTCCCTCCCAGGTGGAGAGAGATGAGCACCTCGCCTTGCTGGCCGTCCCCTTCCAACTCCCCGTGGTGGGTGCAGAGGAAGAAGAAGGGCGAGAAGCGAGGATAGGCAGCCCGGCCGGCAGCCGAGAGCATCAGCAGCCCCAACAGCAGCCGCGGAGGACAAATCCGGACCGGCGGGGTCGACGAGCTCCGCTCCAGCGCCATGCTCCAACACCGCCGCCGCCGCCGCCGCCGCCGCTCACCGGGCAGCCGCTCATCCAGGCGCGCGAAGGGATGGGGAGTGGGCGGGGGGGGGGGAGAGACAGCCGCGCCAGGCGGGCAAAGGGGAGGAAGTTGCCGCCGTCGCCGCTTACCGGCCGCGGGAGAGGAACAGCAGCAGCAGCAGCAGCAGAGCCGGGAAGGCGGTGCTGATGGAGGGAGAGAGGCAGCGCGCGAAGTTTGGCAACCGCCGGAGACGCCCCGCAAAGAAGGAGGAGGAGGAGGAGGAAGAGGAGGAGGAGAGGAGAAAGAGGAGGAGGAGAGGAGAGGAAGGAGGACAGGAGGAGAGGGAGAGGAGGAGGGGAGAGAAGAAAGAGGAGGAGGAGAGGAGAAGGAGAGAGGAGGAGGAGGAAGAGAGAAGAGGAGGAGGAGAGGAGAGGAGGAGGAGGAGAGGAGGAGGAGGAGGAGGAGGAGAGGAGAAAGGAGGAGAGGAAAAAGAGGAGGAGGAGGAGGAGAGGAGGAGGAGGAGGAGAGGAGAAGGAGGAGGAGAGGAGGAGGAGGAGGAGGAGGAGAGGAGGAGGAGGAGGAGGAGGAGGAAAGAGAAGAGGAGGAGAGAAGAGGAGGGGAAGAGGAGGAAGAGGAGGAGGAGAAAGAGGAGGAGGAGAGGAAGAGGAGGAAGAGGAGGAGGAGAAAGAGGAGGAGGAGAGGAAGAGGAGAAAGAGGAGGAGGAGAGGAGGAGGAGAGGAGAAAGAGGAGGGGGAGGAGGAGGAGGAGGAGGAGAGAAGGAGGAGGAGGAGAGGAGGAGGAGAGGAAGAGGAGGAGGAGGAGAAGAAGAGGAGGAGGGGAGAGGAGAAAGAGGAGGAGAGGGGAGGAGGAGAGGAGGAGAGGAGAAAGGAGGAGGAGGAAAAAGAGGAGGAGGAGGAGGAGAGGAGGAGGAGGAGAGGAGAAGGAGGGGAGAGGAAGAGGAGGAGGAGGAGGAGAGGAAGAGAAGAGGAGAGGAGGAGGAGAAAGAGGAAGAAGAGGAGAGGAGAAGGAGGAGAGGAGAAAGAGGAGGAGGAGAGGAGAGGAGGAGGAGGAGGAGAGGAGAAAGAGGAGGAGGAGAGGAGGAGGAGAGGAGAAGGAGAGAAAGAGGAGGAGGAAGAGAGGAAGAGGGGAGAAGGAGAGGAGAGGAGGAGGAAAAGAGGAGGAGGAGGAGAGGAGGAGGAGGAAAAAGAGGAGGAGGAGGAGAGGAGGAGGAAGAGGAGAGGAGAGGAAAAAGAGGAGGAGGAAAAAGAGGAGGAGGAAGAAAGGAGGGAGAGGAGAAAGAGGAGGAGGAGGAGGAGGAAAGGGGGGAGAGAGCAGAGACCGACCCACTGACAGACCGACCGCCTCTCCCCCTCACACACACATACACCTTCGCCGAGCCAGAGGGGCGCGGCGAGGTGTGTGCGTGGGGGGGGTGGTGGTTGTGGTGGTGGGGGGTCTCCTTTTCGCGCCCTCGCCCCGCGCGAGCGAGGGCAACTTGTGAGGCGCGCGGGGCACGAAAACAGGGTGGTCGAAGGGACGCTTTTCCTGGCTGGCTGGCTGGCCTAAGAGCGGGCGGTCCGCTCGCGCCACCAGAGGGTCCCGCGGCCGCCTCGCGCCCGCTCGTCGTCTGTCACTCTCCCCCACCCACCCCCGGCGGAGGAGCAGACGGAGGAGAGAGGAGAGAGAAAAAAGGAGGGAGAATAAAAGAAAGGAGAGAGAGAAAGAGAAAGAGAGAGAGAGAAAGCTCCGCTTGGAAATAAATTACTTCACACACAATCACACACGCACACAACCACACACACACATATAATACACAGGCGAGCGCGCGCGCGCGCTCAGGAGGCCGAGGGGGAAGAATCGGCCCCGCCCTTCCCCCCCTCTTTTTTTATTGTGGAGGAAGAAGAAAGAGGAGGAGGAGGAGGAGGGTGAGGGAGGAGGAGGAAGGAAGAGGAAGAAATAGGAGAAGGAAGGAGGAGGAAGCAGATGGAAGAGGAAGAAGAGGGAGGAGGAAGAGGAAGAAAGAGGAGGAGGGAGAAGAGGAGGGAGAGGAAGAAGGAGGAAGAGGAAGAAAGGAGGAGGGAGAAGAGGGAGAGGAAGAAGAGGGAGGAGGAGGAAGAGGAAGAAAGGAGGGGAAGCAGTTGGAAGAGGAAGAAGAGGGAGGAGGAAGAGGAAGAAAGAGGAGAAGGGAGAAGAGGAGGAGGGAGAGGAAGAAGAGGAAGAAGGAGGAAGAGAAAGAAAGAAGAGGAAGGAGGAGGAGGAAGCAGACGGAAGAGGAAGAAGAGGGAGGAGAACGGAGGAGGAAGAAGAGGAGGAGGGAGAGGAAGAAAAGAAGAAGGAGGAAGAGGAAGAAAGAGGAGGAAGAAGAGGGAGAGGAAGAAAGAAGAGGGAGGAGGAAGAGGAAAAAGGAAGAGGAAGAAGGGGAAGAGGACGAAAGAGGAAGGAGGAGGAGGGAGCAGATGGAAGAGGAAGAAAGGAGGAAGACAAAGAAAAAGGAGGAGGGAGAGGGAAGAGGAGGAAGAGAAAAAAGAAGAGGAAGAGGAAAAAGAAGAGGAGAAGAAGGAAGAAGTGGGAGGAGGAGGAGGAAGAAGACAAGGGTGGGGCGGGGGGGGGACGGTCCGGGGGCTCGGTGGGGGGCAGGCGGTTTGGTCGGGTGGGGAGGGGGGGGGAGGAAGAAAAGGATTCCAGGGTCCTTGATGGTCTCAGAGCTTAGGGGTTTTCTTGAGGACATTTCAGTACCCAACTCGGTAACATCATCAGTGCTAGAAAGGAGGGGAAGGCTCAAATGAGAGCAAACCCCATGCCCCTCTAGTACTGATGATGTTGCCGAGTTGGGTAATGAAATGTCCACAAGAAAACCACCCAGGCCAGAGAGAATCCTCATTTCAACCCTGAACTGGACAACCATTTGTTCAGGATGCAATAAAGTTATATTGCCTTTCACAGATACACCCTCCTCCGGATGGATGGATGGGAGGGAGGGGGAGGGAGGGAGGGAAAGAGGGGGAGAAGGAGAAAAGAAAGAAAGAAAGAAAGAAAGAAAGAAAGAGAAAGACAGACCTAGGTAATAATAATACTTTATTCAGATTCTGCTCTTGTTTCTCAGCCTTCCTATGTTCACACTTGCAGAATGACTAGTCTTATTTATTCCCACGGGCACCTTTCAAAATCAAATGGTCAGTGCAAAGCGTTCATTGAAACCTAGCACAATTGTTCACTAATGGTAAATTTCACTGATGCTAAATTTGGGAAACGTGCTGGAGAACAGCCATCATCTGATGAGGCTACAATCTTGATCGCCTCGTGATAGAACAGTGTTGAACTGGGCATAGAAAGCCTGGACATCAGAATAGAAAGAGGATTTTGATATAGAATAACAGAGTTGGAAGGGACCTTAAAGGTCTTCTAGTCCAACCCCCTGCATAGGCAGGAAACCCCTACACCGCTTCAGCCAAATGGTTATCTAATCTCTTCTTAAAAACTTGTTGTTAAAAGCATTTACAACTTCTGGAGGCAAGTTGTTCCACCGATTAATTGTTCTCACTGTCAGGAAATTTCTCCTTTTGAAACAGGGTAGGTTTTGGAGGCATTGTATAAGACTGCTAGAAGGAAGTTTTCCAGAAAGACTCACAGGAGTATTCTGATCAACTGTTGAAAGAGGTGCCCCACCTGATTCAACATTTCAGAATAAGAGAATAACAGAGTTGGAAGGGACCTTGGAGGTCTTCTAGTCCAACCCCCTGCTTAGGCAGGAAACCCTACACCACTTCACACAAATGGTTATTCAACATCTTCTTAAAAACTTCCAGTGTTGGAGCATTCACAACTTCGGGAGGCAAGTTGTTCCACTGATGAATTGTTCTAACTGTCAGGAAATGTCTCCTTAGTTCTAGGTTGCTTCTCTCCTTGATTAATTTCCACCCATTGCTTCTTGTCCTGCTTTCAGGTACTTTGGAGAATAGCTTGACTCCCTCTTCTTTGTGGCAGCCCCTGAGATATTGGAACACTGCTATCATGCCACCCTTGGTCCTTCTTTTCATTAAACCAGACATTCCCAATTCCTGCAACCGTTCTTTGTATTTCCCAGCATGGCTGGAGAAGACATGGTAAGAGATGCTTTGTGGTTTTGGGCGATTTCAGAACTCTGCAATGGGGGTTTTTTGAGATGAAGCCCAGCCAGAAAGTTAACTATAATGTTATAATCTGTTTTTAATGTTTGTTTTTTTGATGTTTTTATTTATTCCTTGCCCAGAATCCCTCTGGGAGAGAGAAGGGCGGTTTCTGAATGGGATAAAAAAACAAATAAGTAAGAATGAAACCATTCGCTTTAGAATCCATCAGGTGTGAGTCGGTTTGCGTGTGTTCACATTTTAGTCGTGATTGGCTCAGCTTTGACAAGCGTGATCCAAAAGAAAGAAGGAAAACCCAGAAAGGGCAAAGGCAACACAGAGAGAGAAAAATTAAGAGCCAAATGTAAAAATATTGGGCTGGAAGCATGCATATATATAATCAGATTAAAAAAAAAAAAAAACCTCATTCAGGAGGTGCCCACCGAGGAGTTCAGCATCAAAAGATCACTCCCAGGTTTTAATGTCGCTTTGTTATTCCTTTGCCAGCCTTGCAACTTGATGTAATTGCAAAGGGAGGGGGACACAGAGGTTGCCACAATTGTTGGATGTGGTATGGTGACACCACCTAGGGGGTTATCTCTGGATCTGGACATTGGCAAAAAAAAATCAGAACACAAAATACAAGCTAGGCGAATACGACTTAAAAGACCACCCTTACTCTGTCAAAGACCGTGGAGTGCTCATCTCAAATGATCTAAATGCCAGAGCTCACTGTAACAGCATTGCTAAAAAAGGCATTAAGAGTTGTTAATCTAATCTTGCATAGCTTCTTCTCCAGTAATATTGAACTGCAAACTAGGGCATACAAAACCTTTGCCAGACCAATTCTTGAATACAGCTCATCTGTCTGGAACCCGCACTGCATATCGGACATTAATACAATCGAACGAGTCCAGAGATATTTCACAAGAAGAGTCCTCCACTCCTCTGCTCGCAACAGAATGCCTTATGCCACCAGACTTGAAATTTTGGGCTTAGACAATTTAGAACTTCTCCGTCTTCAGTCTGACCTAAGCGTAGTACATAAAATCATCAGCTACAATGTCCTACCAGTCAATGACTACTTCAACTTCAACCAAAACAATACAAGGGCACACAATAGGTACAAACTCATGGTAAACCGTTCCAAACTGGATTGCAGA